ATTTTCGCTCAGGGAATTCACCGCTCGATTTCACACCAGTTTGAGGTAAAATGTCAAAAAAATATCGAACGGATTTCATTTTATAGCGTTTTTGATACTGTCCCACTCCCATGTCTCAAGTTTCAACCTTACGGCATGTATAAAATATATTTGCTAGTGCAATAAAACACCTCATATGTGTTCAGCTTGACGGTTTGGATCGACTGATATGCACAACCTGAGGTCAAGTTTTAAAAATGGCCTTTCAAGGTCTAATTATAGTTCATTCGTCCCGACGAGAGGAACACTATGCTAACGGCAAAATAAATGTCGTGACTCTTGAGTGGAAAGTATTACAGAAAACATTTTGGTAAAAACGGCTTTTTTAGAGTTTTTGCTCTCTGGAGGCTTAATTGTTGACCTGAGGTCAAATCTGAGATCAAACGCCAGCAAAAAAAAAAAAAAACGTCGAAAGGGCTTTTGACTGCATTTTTCCGCGGGCAGCTCTTTTGGTTCAGAGTTAAGCACCAGTTTTTCGAAAATATTGAAATAAGCAAAATTTGGCCTTTCCTGACCTCTGGTGACCTGGCACTTGACTTGACCTTAAAAATTACCCAAGTATTTCCTTAAATATCTTTTATGCTTTTTCGAATGCCGCTTACTGCGTGTCGCTACGTGGCCCAACCCCAACAGCCGAGTTAGAAGAGGGGACGTGAAGACGACCCCTTCCCCCCCCCCCCCAGTACATCACGGTAAACTCAGAGCACCAGCACGGCGCGGTTTAACATTAATTTTGAGCTGAAGTAACTTGATAACTTTTGATATTTCAATCAACTTGCACGCCCTATAACTTCCGTTTCTCTTACTGGCAAAAGAAAATCTGACTTTTTTATTGTGTTTTCAGGGAACGGCCCATTGAGCCTCCTCTGCATCTTGGCGGAGAAGGCGTCAGTGGTGGCGTACACGGGTGACGAAAATTTGGATCACCCCTATCATAACAAGTCCGAAGGAAACGAACGGTGCCGCCTCATTGTGGAGCGAACGGAAGTCTTGTGGGGATCCATGGTTTGGAAGGGAGTCTTTTGCTGTGGGCGACGGCGCACTTTGTGCTCAGTCAACAAACGGCGCACAAAGTGCGAAACACGCTGTGGTTTGTGTGTATCCATGTGCTCCACACACCATTCAATGCTGAGCGTCAGCCACCTGTAGCCGCGAAGACTGAGGTCGAGAAGCTGGCAAAAGAGTGAAGCTGAGCTGACGTGGAGTCGATCCCCCCCCCCCCTGACGCAGTTTGGCGTGTGTCAGAATTGAAATACAGCGCAATGCGACCGTTTCTACAAACATGTATTTCTTGTAAGGGCTGGGGCGAATAGTGCAAGACTAGGCGTTGGTCGGGCATGGCATAATACAGATATGTATGCTGGTTTTGGGCAATGATTCGTTATATATTGGCCAATCCCAATATATAGACTAGCTGCCTGGTAGTGACTGTTGTATCAGCATCATGCATGCATATTGCATAATGCTGATGCGGCAGCTGTTATCATGGGCGGCGAGCCTATACATTGGCTTGAGCCAATATAAAACGAATCAGATCAGCCGTTTCAGGCGGCGCCTGAGTAACACCCGAGTATCGTATGAGTTATCGATGTGAGTACGTCCTGAGTACAGCCCTAGTTTTCACTGAATAGCCGATGAGTTCCAACTGAGTTATGGCCGTACTACCACCTGAGTTATACATTTAGTACCAGCTGAGTTACATGTGAGTTACTTCCTAGTTTTTCATGAGTAATGACTTACTAATACCTGAGTTTGGCCTGAGTTGTCTGAGTAGGACATGAGTTACGCATGAGTACTTACTGAGTTTTATCTGAGTTTTACCATCGGACAAAATGGCAACTCACTTTGTTACTCACATGCTACTCACTTGCAATGAGTTTTGCCCGAGTTTTACCTGCGTTCCGCCCTGAGTTTTACCTGAGTACGCGGATTTAGAGTGAGTTTTACCATTGGACAAAATGGCAACTCAGTCATTACTCAGAAAAGTGAGTAATTTTTTTTCAGTGTATATCGGCGGCTCTGAGGGCTCAACGCCGGAGCCTCTGACGGCCTAAGACGGGACCTTCGCATCGGACGGCCACTCACCGGTGACTTTTGAGGGCCCCACACCGACGACTCTGATAGGGCCAGCACCGGCGTCTGAGAGCACCTTGCTGGTCTCTGAGGACTCCACAGGGCTCCTGAAGACACCGCAGACCTCTTGAGGGCCCCTTGTCGGTCTCTGAGAGCCCCTGTCGGCTTATTAAGGGTTCGAGCCAGCAGCTCTAAGGGTCCCGCACCCGGCTGTGATGACCCCACACTGCAGTGTCTCTGATGGCCCACAATGGCAACTGTGAGGACCCTCACCAGCGCCTCTGAGGGCCACACACTAGCACCTCAGAGGGCCCACAGCGGCACCTCTGGGGCCCCGCACCAATGCCTCCGAGGGCCTCACACCGGTACCTACCTGTGAGGGCCCACACCAGTGCCTCCAAAGGCTTCATAACCGGCGGCCCTGAGGGCACTACACCGGTGATTTTTGGGGGCCTACCGAAGGCACAACACAATCCCTTAATCTTGCTGAGTTTCTACTTTCTATCCCAATCCCATACCGGCTTCTATCCCAATTCCGGCTCAACTAATTAGCAGCCCCCCCCCCCCCCCCCAATGGGTCAGCGGCGCCGCGCCGGTGTCGGTGCCGGGGGCCAGCGCCAGCGGGGCGGCAGTCGGCCACGCGCACTCAATGGTTAGCGCTTATAGCACCGGCGGCTAGCGCACGCCCGGCGTGTTATCGGCCGTGAGCCGCTCCAAATCGGCTGCAGTAACTGGTCGATATAGGCATTAAGCAGATGAGGAGATGGAGGTGGATTGATGACCGGCAAGCTTTTGTGCTTTACGAGGGCGAAGGGTCGAAGTCGGCTGCAGGCTTCTAAGCCGTGAGCGGATTTTATCAGATGCCGGTTCACTATGACCTTTATCCGGGTCCTGGTCCGCTGACGCACTCTTGGAGAGCCGAATCACAGCAAAACTCCATCCGCGACTGTATCTATACGGCTTACGCTTTTCTGAAAACGTCTGCGTTTGGCCTTCTACGGGCCCGGCCGGCCGGACGGCCCCGATTGGCGATCCACCAGTGACGTCAGTGGTAGTGTTAAGCTGATTGGCGAATAATACATGGGGAAAACCGGGACGACATCCCCCTGTGTGCGACTGTGTAAAGGGGGCCTGACACTTGCACGATTTTGTGGCACGCATTGGTACGAATCGAATCGTGCCCGTGCGCATACTAGTCGTAAACTGACGTGAAGTGTGCGTTAACTCGTCGTGACATCGTGCCATGTCGGGGCGAGAACTTTGAAATGTTCAAAGTTTTGGTCACGACAAAATTTCGCGACCGGATCGTGAACTATGCGCAAACTGTTCGTGAACTCGTCGTCAACTCGTCGGGACGGTGCGGAAAGTGCGTAAACTATGCGCAAACTATGCGAAAAGTATTCGTGAACTCGTCGTACCAGCCCGTGCCAATGTGTGGATCTCGGCTTGCTTCGCAGCGCGAAATTTGGGATTGTGTGGTGTTTTTCCCGAGTCTTTTGGAGTTGGACGCCTAGATGGAAAGGTATGACCGAAAATGTATTTAACGGGTCATTTCAGGTCAAAGAGGTCAAACTAGGTCACACGAGCTCAGGTTAGGTCACAGAGGTCAAATTAGGTCACACGGTGTCATGTTAGATCACAGAACTCACCATGAGGTCACGATGGTTCACGCCAGGTCACAGAGGTCAGCCAAGGTCACGGTAGGTCAGTCCAGATCAAACTGGTCACATTAGGTACGGTCAGGACATTTGGGTCGCCGGAGGTCACGATGGGTCAGGTCAGGTCACGGAGCTTACATTGGTAAATGGGAGGTCTCATTTTTATATGGCATGCCCAAGTCGGCACAAATTGCGCAAACTTGTCGTGCCAATGCGGGAAGTGCGTAAACTATGCGCAAACTATGCGGAAAGTATGCGTGAGCTCGTCGTATCAGTCCGTGTCAATGTGTACACTGATGGGCACGCATTCGTGAATTATTCGTGAAATCGTCGTGAACTGGTCGTGAACAAAGCGGGAGCCATCCCAGTTCGTGCACGAAAATGGCACGGCTTGCCACGACAAAATCGTGCCCAAAAGTCGTGCAAGTGTCAGGGCACCTTAAGGATACCCACGGGCCACGGGACGTAAACACTGACTTGTGCTCATGCTGTGCGTAACTGCCATGACTCGTGAGTCCTGTTGGCGCCTGAAGATCTCGCCTGATCAGCTGGAAGTAGATGCAATCACATCAGATTCAATTTGGAACAGCTTTTTGCCCTGTTCGCTACATATTTATCTAACTTGAAGATACGGTAGGCGTGATAGGTAGGTAAACGGATATGCTTAGACGGTCACGGGCCCTTGGAAGACGAACATGAACTTTGTGCTCTGTTGCGTTCCCGTGATGCCACTCAGCCCAACAGTCCGAGGTCTGCGCTGGGTCAGATGCAGTCCGACCGAACTGAGCCTGCCTGCCGCTGGGGGGGGGGGGGGGGGGGGGGTGCTGTCAGCGCCAGCGGGCCGACCCTACAGCGGTTACAATAACCGCTCCGTACCGAGCGACACCGAGAGCGTGCAGCGGGGCACTCCAATGTGGCTATGGACAAGAATGCTTCGGGTTGAGTGAAGTGACCCATCTGGATATTTGACAAATGGGCAGACTCCTTTGGAATGTTTGCAGGGTAGCATACCAGAGTTAAGTATATAAGTGGTGAACTAGTCCGTGGTCAGTCGAATCACTTAAACCGTAAGGGGGTGCAGAAAATGACGAGGTTTTGGATATACCTACGCGAAGCTTAGGACCTACAATGTGTGTAGGCACAGGTGCTTTACGTGCACCCAATGCGTCGTCCTACCGATTATGGTGCGGGGCTCAAGTTAACACACAATTCTAAGTTATTTAAAGATTATTTTGCGACATTTTTATACAAATAAGCTCACGGCATAGGTACGTAAAACACTAAAACAAGGACACGATAAAAACTATTATTATTTTACGTCCTTTTTATACAAATCAGCTCACGGCATATGAAAAACAATTCAGCGACAGACAAGGACAATACCGTTTATACAGTCTCAGACAACGCACAGAAGTGCATAGCGTGGTGGTAGGTATGATAACAGCGAACACATTGAGACCCAAAACAAATTCACTCTGCACCACAACAATGCCATTGAACAAAAAAGGCAGCATTGCCAAATCTATTTCAATCAGTTATCGCCTCTAACAAGTGTAACTATAAAACGTTAAACGGACCTTATCATGACAGTAAAGATTTAGAGAATCGAAACTGAGTGGATATTGCAGAATACCAATTGCTTCATACGTGCCCTTTATCTAACTGTCGCAACTATGTTATTTAGTTACATAAAAAACTTTTTAAGATGCCAACACATAGTGACGTGGAACCGATTTAGATGTGATACAAATCACAAGGGGCGCCTGAATCCTTTCAACTATGTCAAATATTAGCCACAACTGTCGACAGGCCGAGTTCATCCACTGGTGTCGCCCGTTTCGGCCTCAGACATACCTATTGTTTGCACCATCCATCAGAACTTACATCACAAACGTTATGAAACTTGATAGACACGTCTTGCTTTACTGATGTATCTCAGAACCGCTGCATTATAACGGCACGAAACTGACACACACTGTACCGACATCCGTCACTGCATATAGCTAAAACAGCATCCACAGCTAATTGTTGCTCTGTAACGACACTTTCCGCTATAAACTGTAGGTATGTGTAAAAACACCTCTAGCTTGCAGGTCCACTGTAACGGCGCCTTACAACGACATACCTATCCGCCGTAACGGCATCTTCCGCTGACAAATTCACAGAAGCGTTATCTGCGTCTGGTAGCTCAACTGTTCCTGCACTGTTCCTACACTGTCCCTTCACAATTCGTCTCTGAAAGAAGGGCACTTCACTAGTCTCGCTAACCATCATCGTGTTCTGATGCGCCGTTCGTTTTCGGCATGCAGCACAGCGCCTGACGCCATCAGCACTTCATATCGGTGTTCCACTGGTGTTATTAGGGTGGCTCGGCGTCATAGAACTCTCACGTACAAGTAAGTCGGGCTGAGTGCAAACGTGAGACGTCCTAATACTGCCCTGATGCCGCCGGCGTGCATAACGCACTCTGCTGGTCGCTGGAGCGCACCATTGCTCATGGCAGCTTGTGCATCCATCATTATACATGCACAGCTCTGAGTTCCCTCCAACTTGGTGATAAACTATTTACATGTGTGCAGTGTTTTTCGACGCGTGCACGCTTGGCACTGCACTTTGCAGCACCAGACGAACTTGCACCGGCATCGTTCGGTAACGGTCACCCGCTGGGTGTTGTAGCCTCGGCCGCAGCAGAGCAGGTCGCAGCCGTCGGTGCCCTTGGAGCCACGCACGCACGTCCTGCCGGCGGTCCCTGTGAAGAGGAGGGAGGAAGGGACTAGTTACGGCTCAGACAGGGGCCGGAACAGGTCAACCGATGTGAGACGGCGGTAGATCTGTCTCTGATAGAATCTAAAGGTGCCTGCGCCCTGCTAGTTTTATGCTAGTTTTAACGTTTATGTCTTAAATTATTGCATTAAAATTTATATGCAAAAACTTAGCGGTCGACTGGCGTATAAAATGTCTCCTGCAGGCTGCCATTCATAATAAACATGTGTATTGTGTTTCTCAATGCTACAGTTGTGACTTGTGAACGAGGTCTAAGTCAATGTCGCTGCAACGACTTCACCGCGAACACTTATCTTGGAATGGAGCGAGGAGGTTTACAACTTACGACAGAGCCTGGCTGCTATGTGGTTGCATTAGCCTGGTGCCTCAATATCTTGATGACTGACAGGTACGACTATGAGTGTTCGCTTATATACCTATAACATACCTGAGGAGCCGAGGGTGGCGTTTCTCCGGCAGTAGTCGGGACTCTCCCGGATGTAGACCAGGTCATCAGCGGTCGGCTGCCGGTAGCTCTTGTTGCGCACCCGCAGCTTGCTTCGACGCGTCACTCGCACCTTCGTGGCACCGTCGTATTTGTCTTTGAGCATGTCCCCTGAAAATGGCAGGCGGCGTGTTAGGCCGGAAATAGGACAACGAAATTCCCAAGCTATTTAATGAACGTGAAATGTTCAATCATAATCCGTGGCAAAAAAACAGGTGCTTAAATGAACAAACATTCATACCTATCCTAGATTTTAATTATTAACGACATATTAATGCCTCTTTATTTTCTAAACATTTTCTTTAAAGAAATCCCTCATACAAAGACCGTCACGATTAAATACCGCACATAATTGACCAGGAACGAAGGGCGAGCCTGTGAAGTGTCAGCCGGGGCGCGAATGACCGCCGCCCCGTGGCGCGTGTGGCAACATCATGAGCGCCGGGTGACGCGATCAACAAGCACTCGGGTGGAGGGCCAGCCCACGATACAGTATCGAAAACAAGCTGTCCGCTCCACCGAGAGGGCAACATCAATAAGCAGAGAGATCGTGCATCCATCTGGCCAATTGGCGAGAGCATGCCGCAAATACCGGGCGTCAAAAACACAGCCGACCGGCACTAAAGTTGAACCTTTTGAACCTTTTAGACGGCATGCCGTTAAGTTGAGCTACTCTGTGAATTGTCTGGTATATGCAATACGATGACAGCCTGCCTACACATACTGATGCGAGATGACAATGCTAGAGCGTCATGAATTGGAGACCGGACAATCTGCGGCGCCGGCACGGATTCTGTGCAGCCGGCCGTCAATAGTAATCGAACAATGTAAAAATATCAGCAGATGCTTATCGATAAAAATAGGACAAATTCAGCGAAAGTCTAATGATAAAAAGTAAAACAGCCATCTCGCTGGCATTGAAGATAAAAGAGATGATAATGCCGATTGCTGATGACACACGCACATGCAAACGAGGCCAATGCATGCAGTGATCAGCTGTGAGACTCTAAGAAACCCTCTCTGTCCAGGAAGACCTATCTGACCATGCTGCTGACCATGCTGCCTTACCGACTTCCCTGAAGGCGGGCAGCCTCTGCCAGCAGGTGACGGCCGAACAGGACCCGGAGACGCCGTGACACCGGCAGTTGACCTTTGTCAGGCTGATCACCGACTGAAAGCAGACAGACAGAAATCGTCAACAGTAACATAAATAATCGCAAACAATATAGCAGATCACTGGTTGATGCGGACAACGCACGTAAAAGGCACTTGTATTTGTCCCTTTTGAGGCCGTAACAATGTAAAAGGCAGTAGGCACTCATACTGTTTCGAAAATATACTTATCAATTCATCACTTCTGATCTCAGCATCTTCAGAAAGTCGCACTCGTAACCACAAAGCCATACTTAACCGGCATGTTTGACAAACAGCCTAGCTCCAGCACCCCTCCTCTGAGCTGTCTTCAGTTCACTGGCACTACAGGTGACGGCTGCCAGACAGCAGACACGCTGTTCCGTGCTGCACTGGCACAGAGCCGCCGCCGGCACCGCTCGGGGGGGGGGGGGGGCACCAAACCCGCCCCTGTGCGCGCTCCGCCTGCCTGGCGTGTAGGCATGTCTGTCTGTACCGTCTGACCGCCACATTGTATACCGTCTGACCGTAGCAGTGTGTGCGGCTGTGTCGTCTCGGTCAGCCGGTTACCAGCCACCGGAGGCGCCAGACAGCCGACAGCTGTGTCAAATAGCCGGCGGCGATCTGACACTGTCACTGAACGGTGACTGAGTGACATCAGTCAACGGCCGGGTGATTGATACAGCTAACTGAACGGTGACTGAGCAGTGAAGTATTCAAAGCCACAATGATAAAGCGGAGCATATTCATTCACTAAACAGTAATTGAATGATAACGAAAGTGATAAGTGACTGAATTATATAGGTTGAACTGAACAAAACAAGCCGCAAGGGCTCGTCCGTCGGGCATTGGTCAGTGCCCATTCTCCAGCTTCCAAAAGCCATTGACTGGACAACTCACAGCAATTAAAAGTGGCGTTTCAGGCCCCGATTTATAAAGTTTGCATGCTTTCAAGGTCTCAACTCCAAGGTCTAGGCTTGAAGATCTGCTCGCGTTATCTTGGAGATATGAGGTCGTTGAACCAAATATTGCCTACTTCCATAGTCCCCTACAAACACAGACTGCCTCTCTGCTCCCTAAAAATACAACGGCTGCGCTTTTTGTGCACATGCCGCACCTAATGAAGGGTGACGTTAGTCCCAGCTGCTCTAGTGCACCTTGGTGTTGTCGCCTTGTTCTCCTCATGGGGTCTGGAGAGTGTCTTCCTTCTCCGACGGACCCACGAGGAAGTGAAATGCCAACAAAACAGTGCAGCTACAATTCAAACACCGTCTGCTATAAACGCCATTTAAAATTAAAATTTGATATAGAGCTTCCAGCCAATGCCTAAATTGGCTGGACTTTGCGTGATTTGTTATCATATTGCGGCTTTTACGATGACTTTTTTACGCGCATTGGTTGTATTTAATGGGTCATGGCTTCGGGCCATATTTTACCAAAGCGCACACGTACAACTAACTGTTTGGCGTGCTGTTTCGCTGTCGCCAATAAAGTTGCCCCATGCCCTCCATCACTTAATCATGCCAATTTATGGTAAACTACGAGGTTCGATCGCGTGCCAACTGGAATTCCGAACGACATGAGTGACAGAACAAAACCTCTTAGATTTATATTCTGAACGTTTATTAATTAGTTTAATCGCTGTCAAACATTGTGTAGCATTGCGTGTCATTGCGTCGGGATTCGGGTGCTATTTATTTACATTTATCTCATGCTTACTGCCAAGCGTCAGCTGCTGCCTGCGAGAATGATAAATGGATTTGGCTCCGAAAGGCATTGCTGTTATCAATACCTGACACCGAACTTTGCACTATACGGGCGACTAATCCTTGAACGATAAACGAGTGAGGGTCGCTAAGACAGCTACCAAAAGTATCCCACGAGTCCAGAGGTCACCTATAAAATATAATGTGCCGAGTCTAACTATACGTCGGTGGTCAGGTGACTGTATATCATAGACTTCTGTAAACTTACAGAGGTCTGTGCGTAAGTATAGGTCAGTATAGGTCAAACATACCTACTGTTTGACAGTTTGAGTGCAGTGGATCTGTCCGTACCGGTACGTCCATACCTTGGCACCGGCCCGGTTGTTGTGGATGTTCATCAGGGCCCGCGCCTGTCGCCGTGAGCCGGCCCGGAACCTTCGCTCCCGTTCACGGATGTCGGCGAACGTCCGAGCGAACCTGGCAAGGCAAAACAGGAGGCGGGGATGAACAGGCTGCTGAGGACAGACCGCACTGCCGCGCTGGACAAACGTGTTGCTGCAGAGCAGCGGCTGACATGGAAGACCATTTTCTAATCTGTGCTTATTGACCTATGTATAACGAAAAAAAACGTTGGAAATTACTTGACGGGGCATTAGTTTTACTCCTACATGCCCGCTTTTCTTATGCATCGCTTCTGAGCTAATATGCATTGTATTGGTAAACTTTGTCAAGAGTAGGTACCTAATTCGTGTTTCACATGGAACCACATATGAGAACGTTCTATTAACACGTTCTATTACTCCGTTGTTGCTGAAGCCTAAATTGCCAGCTCAGAGCACATTGGATAGGCAAGTCATTTAGGGAATAAAACCGACATCATTTCAAAACTACCGGACTTTCCGTAACGGCCTGCTCTGAAAGTCGACCCGACCCGCATTCCACTTTGTGAGTAGGCCATACCACACCTCGTGGCAGCCATAACTTAATTACCCACCATTATCGCCAAATTGATAATGAATGTGCCGACTGGAGGGTGTCATTAGCGTCATAAATCACGCCTATACGAAGCGGCATCCGGCCTCATACAGTGCCGGTCACCGCCGAATAGCACACGGGGGATTGACTTGACCTGCCTCACGGAACTAGACTGACCTGCTAGCATGGTAATGGGAAGTAATTCTGATTTGATACAATACAATAAATCACGCCCCGTTACGAATGAGCGTGTCCGCCCCTAGCGGAAAGTGGGCTAATATATGAGCCCTGCATGAATTACGAGCCGGGCGGATAGTCACGATATTATACTTTTTGTGTGACTTGCACTTAATATGCAGCGTTGGCAAATATAAACCGGTAATTTAAATACCGTTTCTGAGGCTGATGATAGCCTATTCCTCGGAGTGTGACTTTCGCTCTGGAGATAGATGCGTATGGAAGCTAGCGTGTTTTAAATTAATGAGTCTCATCAAAACCGTTTACATGCCAATTACAAGTTTCGTGCAACATTATTTATCTTATGCGACACTAAATCTTGCGTGGCTCGTTTCATGTGCTAGACGGTTACATTAATCCTACCAAAAATGATCTAGGGACACAGTACACACCTCAAAAATGCTAATTAAAATTACAATATATTATGCTTAAATAGTTACGCTTTGTTGAGCGTTTTAAAGTATTTTTTTGGCCTTATTTAGCTTTTATGGATAAATAACGACATGTTTTATCGATTTCGGACGCAGGCGAAAATACTCGTATCTCCTGTGCCTCACCCCGGATCCACCAGCGGACATGAATGGCATCAAGTCCGGTGACGGGGGCTTAGACGGCACCCGTTGACCGACGTGTGCCCTGTGAGGCGGCACCCGGTGACCTATAGGTAGGGGATACCCGGGAGGTATGGGCCAGTTAAAGTTTTGTGTAAAGGCAATTTTCTTCCAGTGGGCAGTGGCTAGACCCGGTTTTTCACTCTGTGTACGCGAAATTGCTTTTCGCCTGCAAAGTGTGCCTGATATTAGGCATCTGGGACCAACTTTTTTGTCTCGAGATAACTTTCAATAAATCATGCGTATTTTCGATCCATCAAAATACACCGGGAGCCGGGAGGTATGGGCCATGGCCCGGGAGGTATGGGCCAGCGCCATGTTTCATATTATTTTCTCGACAATGAGAACAATACTCGTAGCTGGTATCTACCTTGATCTCTCTTAGAGCCCAGCAACCGTATAAGTGGCCAACAGCTTACTTCATGGAGGTCACAATTGGGCACATAAGTATTTTGGTAAACTCAATCATGCTCCACGAAATAAGATAAATAATATTTTTCTGTTCGAATGAAATTTGTAGTTAACCCTCGCCCCGTTGGGGGGGCCATTTTGGCCCCCCCTGTGGTTTTTCCTGAATAGCAAGAAAACGGCGGCGCGCAGCGCCGCCAAATTTTCAGTATCTTCCCGGGCATCAATTTGACACCTTCACACCAAGTTTCAAGTCTTAGGTCACCTTAGGTCAGGAGTTATTGAGGTCAAACTGAGGTCATGTTCGAGCAGAAATGAGCAAAAAACATGCAATCTTGAAACGCTCACCAAATCTACAGTTATCAAGCAATTTCAAAGTTCTTTATATGGTCTAGTAGACAAAAGCGGCGCTACAAAACTGCTGTCTCGGATTTTCAAAATTTTGGTTTTTTGACCCCAAAACATTCAAAAAATTGAATTTTTTTGAAAAAAACTAAAAAAAATCCGAAATTTTTCCGAATTTAAAAAAAAAACGGAATATATGTGATAGTCCCTGCGCTCTTCTATATACATACCAAATGTCAGATCGATATCTCGTTTTTTGGCCAAGTTATAGCGAAAAAAACTGTTAAAAAATGATGACGTCAAATTTTTGAACTCAATTTTTAGCGATTCTAGACCATGTACGGCAAAACAAAGACCACCATTGAACTCCCCGTGACGAGCTGCATCGATTCGATACCCATTTTATGCAAAAATATTAACTTTGAAATTTGACCTAATTTGACTTGACCTTGACCTGACCTCTGTGACCTGACCTGGTATCAGTGACCTCAAATAGCAAAATACGTGTTTGAAGAACATTTCTCCATCGATGATTTTCAATGAAATGCATTTTACTCGATTTAACAACGCATTTCTTGAAATGCCTGTAAACGGTGAAAATTGGACCTTTGACCTGACCTGTGACGTCATCGGTTTGACCTAGGTCAATAAAATTGGGTCACAAGGTAGTTCCCTGATAGGGCTATCCAACACCGTTTGCCGCTTGTCGCTAGGTTGCGTGGTTCTCGAGATCTTAGGGGGGGGGGGCAAAATGGCCCCCCCCCAACGGGGCGCGTTGCTCGGCAGAGCCCAACGGGGCGCGGGTTAAATGTTCGACCTTGCGCGGCAAAAATAAAACTTATTGAAGAGGACATTCAATGAAAGCATCATTTCGTTGATTTAGGATCAACGGGGGTGGGTGGCCCGAACCTCCCGGTTTAGGACGCCAGAATGTGCGTATAGCATCTCAGCTCATAATCTTGCAACAAAGCTTCAAGTTGTCTATCCAGTCCTAATTTGTATGCTTTAAACTTAATATGTTAGAGCTGGTCTGACATCATAAAACGAGCTTGGTTCAAATTTATCACGATTTTTTTTTTTTTGCATGTACCGTATTTTACTCGAAGAGGGCAAAACGCTTTATCACCGCTCAATGCCAAAGAAGACTGAGGAAGATTTCGGAAATCACGTGGGTTGTATAAAGGAATGGCTGCTACCAGTTTACGCGGTCAAATGTGTAAAAATACGCAACACTTCTTCAAAACTGCGATGGCCCATACCTCCGGGGGCCCATACCTCCCGGGTCTCCCATACTCTACTCTCAGTCGCTGACCGGTGACCACTCTGTACCCTCAGTCACTGCTCGGTGATCGTCCTGTACCCTTAGTGGGCGCCCGATGACCGACCTGTAGCCGTAGGCGATGTTGTCTCCGCAGCCGCCCCAGGTCCAGTCGGGGTCGAGGTCGGCCGGTCGCCCTGCCTTCGAGCAGCCACAGGCTGTGAGCTTCCCGTTCCGACAGGAGCGGGCCACAGCCATCACCACGCCGGCAGCGGCGATCGAGTGCGCGAACGCCGCCTCCCGGGACGCTGCCGGTAGGTCAGAGGTCAGGTCAGATCAATGCAAAGGTCCGAGGTCAGATGTCAGCGTGATCAGTGGTAAGAAGTCAGAGGCGGCATTAACCAGATGTGAGCACTGAGCATTGATCAGTGGTACTAGAGGTCAAGACTCAACACCTCTCGGAAGTCGGCTGTCATCGGTCATTACAGTTCAGATCTCATCCGATGGCTGGCTACAGTCAAGGCAGGTGACGGGTGAGGTTTGAGTTATATGGTGGCATTTGAGATACCACGAGTAGTTAGGGGTGAGGCTGCACCTATCGCAATGTATCGCGCGAATACAACAGTCCACCTACAGCGGATACATGACACGGCTGTCGGCTAGATCAAACTCCTCGACCACCAGAGTGGATGAGGGATGCATCCAATTAGCAATGATGTCGGTAATAGTCTGCAGGTCAGAGTGCAATGATCCACAGCTACCCATCTCGCTGCCGCGGGCCGCACTTCGGAAGACGATCCGCCAATGCAAATAGGGCTAGTTAAATAATTGATTTATGGATCAGAGCTGTTCGGTTCATGCCACCAGAGAACTGCTTTTCCGCACCATCTGTCACCATTATCTTTACGTTAAGTATATATTAATAGAATACAATGGACCATCCGTCATCAAGACGCGCCCTCTGGTGACGCATCGAACGAGGTCACAGAGTGTGACCTGCGGCGCACGGACGTTGTCTATGTCGGAGATGTAGCCACTCATTTGCCGGCTATTTAAGCCCAGGCATTAACCGCAGGTCATCTAACCGACTGATTGAACTCTTTACCTCCCTCACTTTCTGTCTCACTGTTCCTACACTTCTCCCTCTCTCTCACTCTCTCTCTCTCTCTCTCTCTCTCTCTCTCTCTCTCTCTCTCTCTCTCTCTCTCTCTCTCCCTCTTCCTCTTTCTCTCTCCTCTCAGAACGCCACCCGTCTATCACAGCAGCGCCCTCGGTCAGCGTAACCAGTGCAGCGTAACCATAGGTCTGTCGACGGTAAACTTGAGCGTCCTGTGCCGTCGGCAGCAGCTTGCCCCAGGCCGTTGGAAAATACACGCCGTGCCGCGGTGAAATAGCGCATCACCTGGTGATATGTGGGCTGGTTTTAACGAGCCGACACTCAGTGTCGAGCCCTAGCGGCGGCATGATCACAGGCGCCGGTACTGCACGGCTGATGCCAGACAGATGTGTGGTCACTGTCGGCGGAGTTTGCATGGCCATATAGGTGTTGTCGAACTACGCGTTGAAGGTCCGGTCCAGGATGCGTACCAATAAAACGATCCATAAGACTGCGCAAGTTGAAAATGGCTATTTGTCTCAGTGTGAAATTATCAGTAGGACGCTGTATATGGCAAAGGTCAAAGACGGCGCCTTCAAACAGACTATGGAGCCTACCGGATGTTGCTCTGAATATAATTAAAGTTCCATTTGTGATTCTAACCACCGTGTCTTTCTCTGTATAGGTAATGGTGGCATCGTGATCGTAATTGCTTTGAGCAACAACTAGTCCTGCACTCAGTGCCTTGTTTTAGTTGAAAACAGTGCAAAGCTGGCGGAGGACTGGCGCGGGGTGCCACTCACGTAACTGAGCACTGAGCATAGTGAGCAGGGGCCCGGTGCAGCCACTGGCATACGGAACAGGGGTTAGGGGTGCCACTCACATACGGAGCAGGGGTTCGGGGCTTGACTCACGTATACGGATCAGGGGCCCTGATACGCTACTTACGTATTTGCAGGACTGGCTCAAACACCGACGGGTGGTGTGCTCGACGCACACTTATTAGGTGGAGACTCAAGGTGCCACTCCGCATTACGGTATACGAAGCACAGGCCCGGAGCTCAACTCACGTATTCGGAGGACTGGCCCGAACACCGACGGGTCGTCGACGGTGGAGCAGTTCCAGCGACTGGTCCGGAACTGGTGCTGGCACTCGGCGATACCGGCCCGCGCGCCGCGACCCACGCTGCTCATGTGGTCCTGCGGGCAGCGAGGGCCAAATCAGGGAACAATTTAGTGTGACGGAACACTTATCGGTCAAGGTTGTGTTGTTGACTTATTTGCAACATTGATTAAAGGTTATCTGAATGTATGTACTGAAATGAATATAACAATACTTTTTGTCATGACTACTTTGACATCAAGACATTTAGTGCGCATAATCCCCACACATGAAAAGTCAAGCACCTCGGCAAAAGTGACCTTACTATCAATAGGCATGGATTAGGTATTCAGGAATACTTCACCCATGCTATAGGTACAGGGTGGACCAAAAAGGATGGAAACATTTTGAACTCGCATAAAACATGCATTATTGCATGTATGTGACTGGAAATAGTACCAAACGAGAGTACATTTCGTGGAAATTCATAACGGCATCACTCTCATCTGCTTTCTCTCGTTTTCAGTCTCTCACAGCAAATGTTCGAAGAGACCGCCTTCGCGAGACAGGCACAGAGCGGCCGGTCTGGTGGCTGACGCAATAGCCCGACACATGTTCGCTGGTATGGCTCACACAGTCTTGGTGATCGCTCTCTTCAGGTCACAGAGACCTTCCTTGTAGACCTGGCCCTTGAGATGAGATGATAAAGAAGTCACTGCACAGCAGCAACGTCACCGAAATGGTGTGCCCTCAGCGGAAAAGGAATCGTGGGTCTACTTTGGTTCGAGGAAGGGAGCGGCGACACCGTGACCGTCAATCAACAGCGCATACCAGGCGGCGCTGAGGAAGTTCTGAGAGCGAGTCCAAACGAAGCATGGCAGCCTCATCATAGACCTTATGTGGTTCCAGGAAGACGGTGCGCCTCCTCACATCACAAAAACAACGCTAAAGTGCATCGAAAACCACTTCGGTGACCGGATGATATCCCGCGGTGCCAGTCGGAACTGGCCTACCTGCTCATCCGACCTGACCCCTATGGATGTTTTACTGTGGGGTCATCTCAAGGGCCAGGTCTACAAGGGAGGTCCAGAAAGCCTCTGAACTGAAGAGATCGATCAGCAAGGCTGTGTGAGCCATACAAGCGGGCTATCGTGTCAGCAGCCAGGCTGGTCGCTCTGTGCCTGTCTCGCGAAGGTGGTCACTTCGAACATCTGCACTGTGAGAGACTGAAAACGAGAGAAAGCATATGAGAGTGATGCTATTATGAATTTCCACGAAATTTACTCTTGTTTGGTATCATTCCCAGTCACATGCATGCAATAATAAATGTTTTATACGAGTTTAAAATGTTTCCATCCTTTTTGGTCCACCCTGTATACAATATACAATATACATGCATCGTTATCACCGGTAAGCTAATGCGATCGTCATCAGATACATTGTCTCTCCTTAGTGCAAGGAGCTCGGTGCATTCTTACTGCAGCTTATGCAAAGGGGCTCGCGGAACCATCCGCATAGCATCCATAACATACAGCTTCGGCGGAATGGCTCCCGTCGCTACCACTCAGTGTCATAAATCAACGTTTATTTACTATGTGTGTCTGTTTTTGCAAGGAGGCATACATCCGGGTGCATAGTGGTGAGATAGGGAGGCGCTGTGGGGGAGGTATTTATCGGGTCTACAGACCCGATAAATAAGGGGGCCGGGCCGCTCGACCAAACGACCATTGAAGTGACCGGCATAAGGTATTGAAGCTCTCAGTGAGGCTAAGCACAGTGAGATGCTCCAAAGGGAATCTACCCAGCGTGCTGACATATCTGACACACAGTGATCTGACACACAGTAGCCGTGACCCCGCCTGACCTGACACACATTGACCTGACACACAGAGGTTGTGACCCCGCCTGACCTAACACACATTGACCTGACACACAGCAGCCGTTACCTCGACTGACCTGACATACAGTGACCTGACACACAGCAGCCGTGACCTCGACTGACCTGACATACAGTGACCTGACACACATTGACCTGACACACAGAGGCCGTGACCTCGACTGACCTGCCGCAGCTGACACAGTCTCCTCTGGCCGGGGCTGAGGCCCGGTATTCGGGCACACAGGGGCGATGTGCCCACCACATACATCTGAGGACTGCGCCACACATCCAGACCCTGCAGACCCAGACTCCTGCAACGAGATTCAGAATCAAATCAGACCACCAGATTACATCGATAGGCAGATCATGCAGGACACATGGACCCAAACGATGGACAAGTCGCCGGGGCTAGGTTACCTCAGTTTTACACTGGGACATATCTTATAGGTATCATACAGATCGCAGAAGCCAAGTGAAGGAACGAAATAGCTGGCAATGACCTCTTTCAAATGTGTTACGTTTGCTATTGAAATACATCCTGGCTGTTCACAGATATCCGTTGTAGCTACCCGCCCATGTTACTTAGTGAACACATGCACGTACGCATGCCGGAATAAGTACAAGCATATGCTCGCTGACCGAGTACCTAATCGACAAATCCACCAGTTTGTATTGATCGATATGCTTAGCTCATGTATTATACTGTGATTTCATGAAAATCGTATTCCATGGCTGTCGAAAGCACACTGGTAGCTTGTGGTGATGTGAGCCTGTGTTGCGTTGCAGTCTCGCTAAAACTCGCGACAGAGCTTTCGATATTTTGAGCCCTTGGCGTTTTCGCTACAATACGAGTCAGGTAGCTTGCTTGGAATGAACTTAAAAACAAATGCAGCCATGTAAGAGCAACAGCCCTCATCGGAGTTTATCGCGTCCTTTGCTGAATAGAGTAAAGCGAAGCAGTGTCGATTTGCATAATGGCCAGCTATTTACTGCAGAGTGAATAAAAGCCTGATCTAAATGCATGTGGTCAGCTATTTATCAATCACTTCCGAGCTGATTAAAGGCCAGCTGACTATAAGGTTCCATGTGCTACTGTAATGATAGCACTCATAAGCTTACGTCAGTAAACTATGCATCATATTTGTGGCAGATTTAAAGCATAGTGCTGCTTAATGAGAACTAACACTCAGCACGAAGGTGGACATGAAAGATGTAAAGAAACTGTATTTAGCAGTTCTAATTAAATTAAAAGCACTTAACAGGTAGCACGGACTAGTCAGTTATCCAAAAGTCACAACGTAATATACTGAGCCCCCCCCCCCCAAAAAAAAAAATCAATCACGCCTTCTTGGACCACATATACTACATAACTGCGTTAGTTTATCTACTACGCTAATTACCAACAGAAAAGTTCATTATATTTTTTCATTGCCTTGTCTCTATTTTTTTGTGCACCACATCATCACCACGCCATTTCTCTCAGCCCGTTGTGTCGTGCCGCCGCTCCTATCTCGTTGTGCTGCCTCGCTCCAGTGTCCCGTGCCCCGCTTCCCTCACGGTCTCGAGGTCTCGGGCCAGTGCCGGGCCCAGCCGGCCGCCGGCTGTGCCGTGAGCGTCACTCATAAACGCTCCGATTAACGAGGCCGGCGCCGGGCAAACAGATGCCTAGCGCGCTGGACAGCGCCTATTAGCGTCGCCGCGGGTCTCATGCATAATTCGGGCGCTGGACTCTTCCCCGGCCGCGTGCATGGAGCCAAGACGAACTGTCGGCCGGCGGGTGGGCCGGTGGGTGGGCGGATTTAGTGCGGAGTTCCCTCCTCCTGCCGGGCTTTGACGCAGGCTCCGTCCTCCAAGCTCCCTTTTATTACACAAACTCCGTTCTCAAAGTTCCCAGCTCAAACATGGACTCCGTGCTCCCAAACCCTCTGCTCCGATACAGACTTCGCCATTTTTTTCCTAGCTCAAACACTGACTCTGACCTCCCATTTTTCGACTACGGCAATCGGCACAGTCCCATTGTTCCACCATTCCCAGCGGCAGGATGGGCATGGGCGTCGCGCCCATGCCATCCTCCCAATTGTTCGGTGCCAGGTCTGAAAGCTGGAACTACTGACGGCCAGAAGGAATTGGAAAGGGTTCAGGCAGCACTCATTTCCTATGATGCCTACATGAGCTTTCCGGGGCTACCGCTTCACCGCCACAGTGCTCCCAAAAGCGAACAAATATGTAAATAATGCCCTGAAGCACTTCCCGCGGCGGTTCTGTGGCAACGGCGGAACGGGACGGGACGGGAAGGGGGCGGGCGGCAAAAGTCGTTAGCGACTGATTGCCGCATCCGTGCGTCGGATGCGGCAATCTGGTGGTCGTCCGCATCCGTGCGTCGTCGGCACCTCAGGTGACGCAGTTGGTTTACATAACGAGGTCGAGTTCCACTCAACTGGTTACCGAGTAAACGTGGGTGGTTTTGAGACCGTAGTTACTAGGGGCGAATGACAAATGGCTGGAACAATATAGGTTTAGTTACTAAAACTCGGTACTTGTGCACGGAGCAAATACTACCTCTCGAAAATGTATGGTAGAGAAACAACGGTTATCATCACCAAAAAGGAGAACCGAGTTTTGTTCTGAGTATTCACCAGTGATGGAGTGTTATTAAACAACATATACTTGACCATTTGACGTTGAACGATCAAGGCGAGCGAAATTGGTTCAAACCCGTTTCTTGGGGCTGAGCTTTTATGTTTTTCGGTATTTCTGTGAAAAGGGGACTTTCATCATTCCGTTCATGAAGTATCTATTTATCTGATAGGTGATTTTGAGTGAAAACAGTGAGAATAAAACAACCTTTTTCATCCCCAAAGCTCTTAGTTTGTTGGACTAATTTAAAATCTTGATTTTCTTCCACAATCCACGTCTGTAACTGCAATAAAACATATGCAATCCTCCAGATGCCAACTACCAACCATTCGTCTGTCGGTGACTGGAGCGAGTTCCCTGCCCAGTCCCATCTTCCATTGTTCGAATATGGGCCGGGGCTCACCCTGCTTATGGCTGGACCGGGTCTCAACCAGTCCGTGACTGGACGCGGGGGAGTCCGTCACTAATGACAGTCACCGGGTGTCAGCTCAGGTACTGTGACGACTAATGCGAGTTTAAAAGGTCTCATCTGTGTCAGCGGCCGGGCGGCGCGGGGAGCGGCACCGGACAGTGGGGTTCGGGTCACAAACAAGTGAAACTCGTCACGTTTTCACGGGATGCGACACAGGGAAATACGGCTCAACACCAAATGCTGAACAGTATCGACCGCGCAAAAACGAGAAAAACCAGTTAAAACGCTTAAACATTTTCTAGCATAACAAATTTTAACGTGTTAAACTAAAACACACCTTCATATCCCCACGCATAATCGCCTATTCGTTCATCGAAAAGGGCATGCCGACGAAAACACGATTGATATTCAATTTCACATGTCTGCTGTTAGTGATCGGAGAGTCACAATACCTATCAGCAGCAATGGCAATAAATTGTTTTCATTTATGACTGATTAAAAAAAAACTGGGTGCATTAATGTTGGTATATTTTGTATTGTCTTATTCCAACTAAAATCATTTTATATTTATCGTCATAGAAGATTACGGTCGGCAGGGAACACTATAGGCGGACATGAGCCCCATTCTCTACTTACCCACTACTCTATTCCATTCGCTGGCTTGTTCCGTGTTCGGGTTGAAAAGTTGGCCAGTGATCGACAAACCAACACTCCTCGCAGCCCAGAATAAAACACAGCCGAACTCAGACATCTGGGCTAATCAGTACAAGCATTTAGTGCATGTTGGGCCGGAGCAAGTATGTACCTGAACATGAATTGCCCCGCTCTAAGCACGCATGTAACTGTGCCATTTACACCACACTATTGTCCTGTTCACACCTTGTAATTGCGGCTAACTGATACTCTCCTATCGAATGTTCGTCGTTAGTGGCCGTTACCAAACCACTTCACAGCTATCGTCGATGGGAACCCATTTAACATCGCCCTCAGGAGAAATAACACCAAGCGTGCCATGAAACTAGGCTAGATCTTGAGTGAATGGAAACCGGAGAAAGTGTCAACCAATCACTGCAACGTGATAGTGAGAGCCAATAACTGGGAACGATTCCATCTGGTCTTTTCTCAGAAATAACACGAGGAAGCTCTTATCCTCTATAGCGAGCGCGGATAGCCACGAGGAGGTTCAAGGACCTCGTTGGTGAGGTGGAGAACAGTTGGTATAGCGCAGCGGCTTTGCCGGTGATAGATAAAGGAAATTAATTCGTATATGATGTAAGATAAAAACATCAAAATCTTTTATCTTACATCATATACGAATTAATTTGTCCAATTCAAATAATCATAAAGGAAATTCGTTTATGTGCACGTTGAACTTTTAGGTGCGGCCAAATTAAATGGCTTTTAACCTGAATAATCTCTTATGTTAGATAAAAGCGGGCTTAAACTTAGTTTTACACAAACAAACGTTTAAGTTGTCACATAATCTCCTCGTGATTTGACGTATATCCTCTGGCTGTCCTTTAAAATCTTTGAATAAAGTGTTACAGAAATAGTCATTTATCAATACATTTTAGTGGTAGTGTGGTGCGCCAGCGCTGTTTATTTAGCCGCACTGTCTCCCTAAGTCAGCTTGTCCGTGCGCCGTCGTTCTGTCGCTGTCCGCCCTGTTTATGTTACACATCAAGGACGTTTCTTATCCTGCTTTATATTATTGTAAACTCGTTATTTTCGTCACTTAGGTATGTTTCGTGTTTTTCAATCGTATTTAATCCACTGGAAGTTGTTGCTATTTTGAGATTAACGTCCCGCTGTTCCTGTATACCTACTCGATTCTTTTTATTATGTGAAAAAAAATTATTTTTCTTCTAATAATAGGCACTGTTTCTACACCCCCCCCCCCAATTGATTTCCTCTCATGTTCCCGGTTCTATTTTCTGATTGACCGAGTCGACTTGGCACGCGTTCTAAGTTAAAATGGTCATTCAGGGAGCACCAGCTACCTGAATACTTTTATCGGTAGCGCAGCGCATGCAACTCTTTTAATTTAACAGCCGTTACCCCGGCCTCGGGAGCGGACATTGTCCTGCGCCGGGAGCGGACATTGTCCTGCTTTTTTTTTTTTTTTTTTTTTTTTTTTTTTGCTCCGCCAGCCTAAAGCCAGTCTGGAGCCGGGGGTCATTACATCTGGCAATTTTGGCCAGGAACAAAGTTTTACGTTAAGCCGGTTTATGTGAACCCGGAAGCAATAGCAACGTGGGAGCC